TATGTCATATAATAAACTATATTACTCTTTATGCTTTAACTTTTAATATAATTACCTTTTATATACCTAATTATTATTCATGTACCATTTTAGGATTTTAATGGTATTAATTAGTCTCCAAATTTTACTCAACTGTATATTCCACTCCCCAAAGTTTCTCTCTCCAAATACCACCATCGCACTCACGTATCAAACCACACCCCACGATTTCCTCTTCAATCACCCACGATTTCCTTTTCTAAAACCAGCGAAAATCTGTAACCCCTCCACCATTGACAACAATTAAAAAGCTTTGAAGTTTTGAATTCGAATTTGGGTTTTCAAAAGACATTTGTTTGTTTGGATTAGATGTTGTTGCAAACAATTGAGAATTCTCTCTACATCTCTCTATCTCTCAATCCCAAATTTCCATAATATAAAGCAAAGGAAAAGATAGCACCAATTCCACCATTGACAGCCATTAAAAAGTTTTGAAGCTTTGAATTTGAATTTAGATTTTCAAAAATCATTATTTGTTTGGATTGGGTGTGGTTGAAAATAATTGGGAATATGGTTTGGAGTTTATATCTCAATTTTGAGGGGTTTTGGTGAAGATTAGACTTGGTTTTAGCTGAATTTCAGATAGAAGAAGAAGAAGAAGAAGAAGAAGAAGAAGAAGAAGAAGAAGAAGAAGAAGAAGAAGAAGAAGAAGAAGAAGAAGAAAACATGATATACATTATATTGCAGAAATTGTAGACTGTTGTTTATTTATTTTTCTTTTATTTATTTAACTATTGTATAAAAGTTGAAGAACATTTGTATAACAATTGTATTTAAGTGGTATTATATTATAGTTGTATATAACTGAGTAAAAATAATGTACGCAAATTGTAGATAATTTGTAGATAAGTTTTATAATATATAATTAGTTGTATGAAATTTGTTTTTACTATGTATAAATCATATACAAAATATACAAAAGACATATTGTATAAATTTTGTATTTAAGTTATATGTTATTGTATTTAACTGGGTGGATATGTTGTATATAATTAGTTGTATGAAATTTGTTTTTACTATGTATAATTAGTTGTATAAAATTTGTTTGTCTTAGTATACTTGTCCTACTTCAATAAAACTTGGTGTACTATCTGTTATTATTATACTTTCATATTCCTCTATGACGGGAGATGCTGGCATATCAAGTAACTTTAGTGTTCCAGACGAACCTGCATGAAAATAAAAATAAATTCTGTTATGAACAGTTTGTAAAAAGATTTTAGATAATTTGTAGAAATGTTGAAATTCTGTATTTCATATTAATTTTTCAAATGATATGTAGTTTTATCGTAGAATAAATATAGAAATTTTGTAGATATTGTGAAAATCCATACTGAAATATATATTTTACTCTGACATGCAGTTTATTTTGTAGATAAAATGTAGATAAAGTGTAGGACGTTGATATACAACCAGAATTTTATAGAAAATGTAACAGCACAAACCTGCAACTGTGTTCTCATTGGTGATACTCAATTCCATATTGAAATCGCGAACAGTTATACATAGCGGATATGATCCTAAGTTTTTGTTTTCCTTTTTCGTCTCCATGTATACACAACTACAATATAATACCACTTAAATATAATTTTTATACAATGTTGTTCAACTTTCATACAATAGTTAAATGAATAAAAGAAAAATAAATATACAACAGTTTACAACTTTTCTACAATTTCTGCAATATAATGTATGTCATGTCTTCTTCTTCGAGTTTCAATCTGAAATTCAGCCAAAACCAAGTCTAATCTTCACCAAAACCCCCTCAAAATTGAGATATAAACTCCAAACCATATTCCCAATTATTTTCAACAACACCCAATCCAAACAAATAATGATTTTTGAAAACCCAAATTAAAATTCAAGGCTTTTTAATGGCTGTCAATGGAGGAATTGCTGCTCTCTTTTCCTTTGCTTTATATTATGAAATTTGGGATTGAGAGACGTAGAGAGAATTCTCAACCCTTTGCAACAACATCCAATCCAAACAAGCAACATATGAAAATTACTTTCTTTGTAAAAACAAATTCCAATCAAACAACGTATGAAAATTCCAATCCAAACAAACAATGTATGAAAATATAAAGAGAAAGAAAATATTAATGCGTGATTTGCGTTGTAAAATATCTGAAAAAATATTTAATTCACCAATATTAGCGCGCCTAAATAAGGAAGCCTACAACTACAATGATTTCTTATTTAATGAATTGTCTATATTTTGTAGAAATACTATTAGTATGGGGGGTAATATGAAAACTATGAACATATTTGGTAATATAGTTTCCTATATGGTATAGGAACGAAAATTTCCCTTTTCATAAACCATTATTGTTTAGTGGCTATTTTTGGGGGAAAAGACAGGAGTACCTATAAAAGTGAAACTATTTACCCTGCTCTACCCATAAAAGAATTTTACCCATTAAATAATTACAATCTCCTACCCATTTAATAAACAAACGGGTATATCAAAATAACTACCCCACGCTTAATGCCCTACCTATAAAAACCCAGAAGCTGCTCAAAATTTCAGAAAATAAGCGCACAAAATTGAGATTTCCACCGACATCCCCTAATTTGAAGATCGCTAAGTGTGAAAGAACAGATCGAAGATGCTGATTCGCATCTTGTTTTCGGATTTTGATTTCGCTATTGTTTTCGGATTTTTATTTCGCTGTTGTTTTCAGATTTTGATTTCTCTGGCAAAGCAGAATGTCAAAAATTATAAGTATTACAGAAGTTTAGCGCTCAAACTTCTGTATTTTTAGCTGAAAATTCTAATCTCGCTTTGGAGATCTGGAGATCTAGAGGTTTGATTTCGAAAAATATGTTGTTGAAATTCAATATTTGACATCAACACCGTTGAAATTTGCATTGTTGAGATTCAATTTTGGACATAAAAGTGATTATAACTTTAGAATCATGGAAAATATACCAATTCTGTTGCAGTATAGTGGAGAATGGGATGATAACAATAATTTCTTAAATTTTTATGTTGATGCAATTCTAATAAAGACCTATTGGAAATTTGAACAACTTCTTAGAGAAATTGCAAAGCAATTGCAAAATGACAGTAACACAATAATTATTCAGTATGCTATTGCTCAAGGATATCCACCAATTACAATTTGCAGCGATTTGAGTATTAGTGTTTACATGAAATTGAAAAATCAAGTGCAGGGATGACAACACTTCCCCTATATGTGTCGTTTGCTAAAAATACTATAGCTACAAGCACCTCCAGTTTCGATGTTGCTCCAATTTCATCAGAAATTGCATAATTTGAAAGCACTGATATGATTAGTATGTTTGATGTGCAAGAAGGAGATGACATCAATTTAGAACTTGATGATGCAAACATCATAACTGATCAATTTCATCAAAAAGTTGAAAAGGACAAATTTACAAAGACAAAAACCTGCTGGCTCTCGTTATGAAACAGTATGCCGTTAGAGAAAAATATCAATATCGGGTTAATAAATCATGCCCTAGAAGGTTCGTCTGCATGTTTTCAAGTAAAAAACTATGTGATACCTATATAGTATAAAAGTATGCTAAATCAGTATACTATGCGAGTATGGAATTGTATTGGTTTGTCTGTGTTTTTTATCTGTGATACTGGTATAGTATATAAATATGCTATATCAGTATATTATGCGATATATAACTGTACTGGTTTGTCTTTGTTATTATCAGTAAAACACAATACCAATATAGTATATATATGTATGCTAAATCAGTATACTATGTGAGTATAGAATTGTGCTGCTTTGTCTATGTTTTTTATCAGCAAAATATGATATTGACACAGTATATATGTATGCTATATGAGTATACTATGTGAGTATATAATTGTACGGATTTTTATGTGTGTGTTTTTATCAATAAAACATGATACATAACTGTATTTGTATTATAAACAGGTATAACCTTGAATGCGTGGATGAAAGATGCACTTGGAGACTTAAAGCATCAAGCCTGCGAGCATCAAATCTTTTCAAAGTGACGGATTTCAATTATGTCCACAGTTGTTTAACTGTTAAAAATTTTATTCAGAAAAGTAAGCTGTCTCAGCTTTTGTTGCAGTTGTGGTAAAGATAAACTTGTTGACCCAAAAACCATATATACACCAACAGATATCCAGAGAGACATCCAAAAAGCATATGGTATGGACTTAAGCCACATGCAAGCATGGAGATCAAAAGAAAAAGCAATGCAATTGTTGAGAGGAACACCAAGTGAGTCATACAAGAAAATGCCAACATATCTTTATATGTTAGAGTACACTAACCCAGGATCAGTGACACGACTACACACTGAAGGAGATGGTAGCTTTTTGTATGCATTCATAGCTATATATGCATTGATTAGAGGATGGATCTATTGTAGACCAACAGTTGTAGTTGATAGAAGTTTTTTAAAGTCAACATATAGAGGGACCATACCCACGGCTTCCATGCAAGACACAGAGGGTAAGAATACAATCCAATTACATTCAGTTAAAGAAACAAAAAAGATTTTCAAATATTATATGATACCTAGCATGGTATACAAGTATACCAACAAAGTATATAATTATTTTACTACATACCTGCATCTACCTATGACTATAATACTATATGAAATACTAAATCAATATTGTGTGTACAATCCAATTACATTCAGTTAAAGAAACAAAAAAGATTTTCAAATATTATATGATACTAGTATGATATACAAGTATACCAACAAAGTATATAGTTATTTTGCTACACACCTTTACCTACCTATGACTATACTACTATATAAAATTCTAAATTAATATAGTGTGTTGTAATTGATATTTTTTTCTTTGGGTTTACATGACAAATTCTACCCCTCACATATGCAATTGTTGATTCGGAAATGATGCATTGTGGGAGTGGTTCTTCGTGCAGTTCAGAGAAACCTATGGACAAAGAGAGGGAATGTGCATTGTATCAAACATGCATGATGGTATATGGAGAGCAACTTCAATTGTCTATCCAGAAGTCCTTCATTGCGCATGTATGTTCCATCTGCGGAACAACATAAAGACAAACATCAGGAAGAACCAAAAACAAATCAAAGAAGTATACTTTGCGTTAGCAAGAGCATACACTCTTGAAGAATTCAACAGGCATATGGCAGAGTTAGAAGCTATTGATAGTAGAGTGAAAACATACCTGACGGATATTGGGTATGATAAATGGTCCCGGGCGCATTCCAAGGCAAATAAAATCATGACTATGACATCGAATATTGCGGAATCTGTAAATGGAGCAAACAAGCACGCAAGAGACCTTCCGGTTGTGAATTTGCTTGACTTTATGACAACATTAATTCAAAAAAAAAATCACACCAATCGGAAGGATGCAGTAGAATCATTTATGAAGATTGGTGCAAAGTATGAAAAAATATTGGCAGATAATACTATCTTATCCTAGACGATGACGGTATGCATTTTCAAAATCATAAAAATACTGCATGTACTGTAGTTTTACTTTTTACCTTAGTGATTTCACTAAACAACTGAATATTGTTATTTAAAAAATACTATTACTTCATATAGCTAATGACTTTTCTTAATTAAAATTATATTAGGTGTTTCCATCAACGGAATTCTTACATTTAGTAATTGATGGCCAAACAAGAAATGTAGTGCGCCTACATGAAAAAAACTTCACTTGTGGGAGGTTTCAGCTCGGCGATATTCCATGTCCACATGCAATGGCAGTTATACAAAAATTCCATATAGATTCATACAAGTATTGCTCGGATTACTACAGCATAGACTACTTGCTGAAAACATATGAGATACCAGTAAATCCTTTGCCTGATGAAACAACGTGGCAAATTCCAGAACATGTCCAAAAGGAAAAATCAAACTAGGAAGACCTAAAAAAAAAGAGGCATAGGAGGCTGGGAAGGAAATATAGTACATGTGCACTATGCGGGAGAAAAAGACACAACCAGAGAACATGCTGAAATATTCCAAAGAGATATTGATATAATGCTTCAATATTTTTATAGAACTCATATATCATAGAATCATAGCATTTGAATTGCAAAGAAATAAAATGCATTTCTTGCACTAGACATATATTTGGTTTGATGATTCTTTGCCAACTTACTTTTTGGCAACAAATTTATATGGCTACTTGTGTTTTCAATAAGAATCTGTTTATTTTCTATTTTAGTATATAAAAGTGGGATGCATTTACATTTAGTTGCTGCAGGAAAAAAGATGCTAAAATATAAATGTGATACCCAAATGGTATATATGTATATCTTATTGGTATCAAAATATGTGCAGAAATAGAAGTGGTGCTGCAAATGCAACATTTGTACATACATCGTTAACAAAATGGGAACGCTTTGCAGCTCATGTCTGTATTGAAGTATAACAAATTGGAAGTCATTTACATGCAGTTATTGTACATCATCAGGTACATAAATACAAGGTGATACCCAAATGGTATATTTGTATACCTCACTGATATATAGTGGTATTGCACTAATATGGCTAAAATAAAATATGCACAGAAATACAAATAGAGCACCAATATAATGTGATACCCAAAATGCACATACTTTGCAACTTATGTCAGTATTTACATCTAATTGCTGCAGGAAAAAAGGTACTCAAATACAACATGATACGCAAATGGTATATCAGTATACCTGATTGGTATATAGTTCTACTGCACTAATATACCTGAACCAAACTCTTGCAGAATACAACTGGTGCAACAATGCAAATTATGCACAGATTTTCTTAGATTCAACTACAACTAACAACTACTCTCAATATAATTTCAAAACCAGTTCACGTTCTAAAAATATATTTTTTTCATTCAAATCAATGCTCGCCCTGTTCTTCAACAAAATAAAAACATAGTTCCTCTTTTTGAACATCGTAACTCCCTTAAAAATACACCTCCAAAAATAACTTCTGCTGGTGTATTACAGCGAACTAACAATGCTCATCCTACTACAAATGGCAGTAGTAGTAGGAACTAATAGTGCTGCTGTAACTGCCATGTTCTATTCTAATGACTTGACTTCAAGTGCTAATAAAATTCTGTCTACGAAATGCACTCCTAATAAACCAACAACTTTATGGAAGAAGCCTAAGAAAAGCCTAATAAAACAAACTGAAGATACATTCCAACATTAAAATAGTAATAGCAACATATTGTACTATAGTATTCCTAGAAAACACTTCTAAAAGCTAGCATTTTACCATCTAATAATGCAAAATACCATACTTCACCAAAAACTATTAAAATCCTGTAAAGTTTTCATGCTACGATTAACTAAAACCAAAAAGAGACCTATACTACTTCTTGCGTTTCTTTCCACGAGTCTTTTTATGTGCTACTGGAGTCTCAGATTCACTTGATTTGCCATGCAACTGCTTGTTCCTCCCCTAGTGCCACAACATTATACCAAACCTAGCTCGAAGACCATCCACATCAAAATTGGCAACAAGGATTGGAAGATCTTCAATAATATACTCACCAAAGCATGCAACATATACTCCACAATCTCTGAAATAAAATAAATGAATAGAATATAAAATCAATTAGAAGTGAAAATGTTAATATGAATGAGGAAAACAAAGTAAAAAAAGTAATTATTCTTACGAATTTTGCTGTATTGGCAGATTTGTAATCAGTTCAATCTCAAAATGATCAGTCAACTCCTTTCCCATGTGCAGTCCATTTTGTACTACAATGTCACTTCTTTGGTTATAAAATTCAATGCTAACTAGAAATAGGTGGAGCAACAAAGCATATGCCTCTGCCACCTTTTGAATAGCTTTTTTGTGGTTTCGACTACGTAGCGAGTCATATACATAAAAACATCTCTTGCGGAATGATACACACTCTAATATCCAATGCCACTTTTCTGCCAAATTAATTGGAAAAAGGACATGATCAACCTGGTGCCATTGTCACGGCCCTAGTTCACCAACCGTGAACATGTTATGACGGCACCTAGTCTCCATGACCAGGTAACCCCAACACTTGCGGAAACATAATAATTGCGAAAAAATAGAATACCATATTTAATTATCTAAAAAGAAAATTGTACTGAATGCCGCTCGGCATATACGACTCAATATCTCAAGACTAAAGAAATCCCAAAACCCGAAAACTCACGGGAAAACACAGGCTACAGAAATGTATAGAGAGGCTCCAAACTCCAGAATATCTAACAAACGGAAGGAAAGAGAACTAAGTACTAAAGCTAGAATAAAGATGGAGAATCGTCGGTCTGCGAACGCAACAGATCTACCTCGAAGTCTCCGTAGTCCTCCTGCCTCACTGATAGTGCGCCTGAGTAGAGTTACCTGGATCTGCACATGAAAAAAAACATGCGCAGAAGAGGCGTGAGTACACCACAACGGTACTCAGTAAGTGCGAAGCCTAACCTCGGTTGGGTAGTGATGAGGAAGGTCAGGGCCCTACTGAGGTTATATAAAATA